AACTAACACTCTTATATAGCCTTTATAACTAACACTCCTGTATAGCCTTTATAATTAACACTCCTCTATAGCCTTTATAACTAACACTCCTGTATAGAGTTTATAACAAACACTCCTGTATAGCATTGATAACAATCATTCCTGTATTGCCTTTATAACAAACACTCCTTTATAACCTTTATAACAAACACTCCTGTATAACCTCTACAAATAACAAACGTCAACGTTCAAAACGCTTCGTTGTCACTAAAATTCTACGAATGTCATGATACGAAAGTAATATCGAAAATTGACTAGCATAAAATTCTGTTAATTTGTATGTTACGAAGCTGTGTAAAACAGTTATGATATGTAATATGTAAAACAGTACCTCATTCATTACGGTCTAGACGGGATATAGAACTAACAGTTATTATATGTAATGCAATGGTGATAAATAAGGCTAAGTGTTCATTTATCTACTGAAGTCAAGATAAGCATGGCTGATTAAACTAGTATCAGCTAAAATGATGATCTATAATTATTTTGGTATAAATTTCAATGATGATAAGAAAAATTAATTATGATATATAATGCTAATTTGCTGGTGATGATAAATAAAGCAAATGTTCTGGTATTTACTGAAATGTTAATAAAGATGGAAAATTGTTTAAGAACCAACTAAAATGATAACAAATTTATTTAAATGTAGCTATTTTAATGATTATGAATAAGGCTAAACGTTCTGGCATCTTCTAACTTGATGACAAATAAGGCTTATTACACCGGTATCTCCTAAAATGATAATAAATATTAACAATTCTGGAATCTAACGATGATAAGTAAGACTTAATATTATAGTATCAACTAAGAATGGGAAATATGCTTCATTACTTGTTAGTTGTCACTAACTCAGACATTAAAAAGGACGGATTGTTCTGGTCACTTTGTCAGGTTACGATATTAAGGACAGATTGTTCTAGTGACTTTGTCAGGATACGATAGTAAGGACGGATTGTTCCGGTCACTTTGTCAGGATACGATATTAAGGACGGATTGTTCCGGTCACTTTGTTAGGATACGATATTAAGGACGGATTGTTCTGGTCACTTTGTCAGGTAACGATATTAATACCTTGTTAAACACTGAGTAAGTATATCTTATAACGAAAAATGAGTTAAGAAAACATGCAAGAGTGTCAAATACATGGGGAACTTACTTGAATCGCATATGACCCCGGCATCTTCTGAATGAAAACAGTCGTGGAAGCTGTCCGAACGACAGTTTTCAAGTGATGTCTCCTCTCCAGTACACTGCAATTCATCATAGAATATTTTACCAGTTCCGTTTCCAAATACACCCTCAACGGTGGCAATGGACACATCTCTGTAACAGAAAAACCAAATAATGCATGTACAGTTACTGACCTTACATCAATAGTAGCGATACTATACTCTCTGTAACAGAAAAACACATCATGTCTATACCGTTACTGACACTCCATCAATAGTAGCGATACTATAATCTCTGTAACAGAAAAACACAACATGTCTATACCGTTACTGACCCTCCATCAATAGTAGCGATACTATAATCTCTGTAACAGAAAAACACAACATGTCTATACCGTTACTGAC